GATGTATATTTTCCTTACAATATTATAAGTACCTTAAAGTATTATAGAAGTTAATGATAAAGTGAATTACGAAACAGAAGTGTGAACTTTTTTACGGGAAAGTACAGAATGTTACCAACAGTTAAGATATTAGCCTCGGTGAATTCAAGTTCTGCTAAATAACATTTTGCATTTAGCTACATCTGAAATTTTAAGGTGTTGCATTCAATTTCTTTTTGTAAATAATAATTGTTAATTAATATCTTCGATAGTACAAGTTGATCAAGAAGACACTACGGGTTTTCTCATTGGTGAAGGTGACCTATAATTGATCTTCGTCATTTGAACCCTTTGTAGTTGTCTCATTGGCAAGCATACCACATCTCCTTATTTTGATATGAAGTACCTCTAGGAAACCCGTGATTTTTATCCCCCCCCCCTCCAAAAAAAATAAATAAAATAAAAATGTCACAAAAATATGTATGCTTTTCAAACGTTTAACTCTCATGGTGATTGAGATCAAATATTTTGTCTTCTTCTTTCTCTCAGATTGTCATTAAACTTCTTGGTGTTCTAATATTTATAAATTTATAATACTAGGTTCCAATACGATGGGAATATGTGTGATCCTCATGAACATATGTTCGTCTGACAGTTTGCATATAGTAAAGCTACATTGTAACCTAAAGAAATAACTTTTTGTTCGAGAAAGATTCTTTTCTCGACACTTGAAATAACCTTCAGCTCTGTTCTATAATTCATGTGTGAAGTTGTGGTTTTAGTCTCGCCTGCGACAAAAGTCGTAAAATGCAAGACATAAAGATTACAATCCGGCGGCGTAAACTATATTTGTATAAAACTTTATATTTCAGAAGGTAGAAGACCTGGATGTTTCATATCTTGTATACAGATGTCAAATGTTACAAAGTTTCCATCTGCTTTATGACCATTGTATTTGACCTCATTTTTATGGTTCAGCGACTGCTTAAAAATTTGTATAGTATTTTAGTCCTGTGTACGTTTTTCATTTATTATGAGTAATAAGATAATAATAGTTGGTATATGGAACCCTTGCAAGGTCTACATGTCCGCCAGACATGGTTCACCGTGACATCGATCTCATTTAAAGGATCAGTTATCAAGGTTCCATTTTCCAGATACTATAGGAATGATTGTAACGTGTACATGTCACACTGGCAGGTTTCATCTGACCTTGACCTTATTTTTGTGGATCACTGGTCCACGATGTTAAGGTTTTGTGTTTTAGTGTTTTTCTCATATACTATAAGCAATAGGTCATGCAACTATATTTTGTGAATGGAACAAGTGTGGACACATATCAGTGTGGATAATAATTGTGTATTTTTGATAGTGTTTTGTCCACTGAGTGTATGCAATGATTCTGCCCCACCAGATATTTTCTGATCTTTTTCTATGTCTCTCAAAGAGCCCTATATCAAACTGTGTTCCACAGTGACAGCCATCTTGGATATTTTTAAGATAGGTAGCAAAAGCTCAAAATTAGTAAAGTGCAGTGTGTTATCTCTATCCAATGAAAACAATAAAACATGTTTTGCCAGGCCACTGTGCTTAATCTGTGATCAATACAGATGCGGCTCTGGTATAAATTTACCTACAGAAAGTGCAAACCCTTTCCTTAATATAGAAATAAGGAGATGTGGTATGATTGCCAATGAGACAACTAAGTAAAGTAAAGTAGAAATGTGCTGAAATTTGAGAGAGCTCATTCAGAATTAAAGGATTAAATTTATACACATATATGTTCCTAAATCTTCCTATATTTCACTTCTGCTAAGTTTTTTTGAAAATCAATTAATTACATCTATAAAGGTGTTCTTGAATTTATATTAATATGTCTCGGATAATTTTCCTAAAATATCTAAGTCTTATCTGTTGGTTCATCAAATAGTGTGTTTACAACAGAATCATACTCTGATTGACCAATATTTTAAAAGTGTCTATGGTTACACAGTGAAAATACTAAAAATCGTAAACTTGTAGATATTCTAAAAAAAATAAGTGCTAATTGATATCCTGTTTTATTTATTTGCATTGGAATGATTACAAGGTGTACATATTTGTCTGGAAGGTATCATCTTACTTTAACCTCATTTTCATGGTTCACTGATCAATGTTGAGTTTTTGGTGTTTTTGGACTGTCTTTTTTCATTTATTGTCAGCAATGGGTCATTTATATTTGGTGTGTGACAATAATTGTAAGGTGTACATGTCCATCTAGTAGGTATCTTAGATTTATCTTAAAATCATCAAATCTCAAATTACAAAACGATATCTTGATGATGCATAAATTTCCGTTTGATTAATCTAAAATAATCACAGGGCAACCAACATCGTTATTAGCGTATTAAGCAATCTGTTACCTTGTTGGTATTAAAAACGTCAAAAATCGACGTTTAACAGCTTTTAAAAGTACAATTCGATGACTTTACGTTTATTTCAACGTTTTGTGGTATTTATCACATAGAACACCACTTATGGTCGCCAAAAACATAAAATAAAAAATCTTTATCGTCGATTTTTTTTCACTCGTCCTGAACATGCATGAAATATTTGCCATAGGACGTAAAGAAACCAACAATCAATCAATCGCCGTGTTTTTGTGTGTTTTCTTTACATATATTCACCTATTTTGAAAGAATTCATTCAGTAATATCTTAGATAATAAAAGGACTAATTAAGTTTCAGGCAAACGTTTACCAAAATATGTGGCCTGACCCATATCCTGTACCTTGACCGTAATTCGTTCCCGAGAAATGATTAAAAATATTTATTTTTTACACTTACGCGTTTTATTCCTTCTCAACAGTAACCCGAATAATTCAATCGTTATATTCCACTGCTCTGCGATGGCTATTAACCCTTCGCGAGTGAGATAGTCGATCACCGGGAGGGACTGAATTATTCGGGTTACCTCAACAGATGTTTGTTCTGTTTCTAGAAATAGAAATAGAAATTCTTTAGTTGACCAATTATGCAAAGGACCCCTGTGGGTTTTAAATTTCATACAAGGATTTCAATGATTTTTACACAGAGGCAACGAAAGTAGTTTCGCCAACATGGTTTATCGAAGTGTAAATCTAGGAAAGAAAATCTAACAGACCAATCACATTTATTGATATGCTAATAATATAACAATTATTTAATAATGACGAAAACATAATAGGAGTGCATGTAATTCAAAAACAAACACAAGATATAAAGAGGAAGAAAATAGAATATAAGTGCACAAGTAGATAAGGCTAGCCTGGAGTGAGTGTGTTTGGAATCACAAGATTTACGTACTGTCTATTTACATCAAAATTGTAAGATGACTATTTATAGGAATAATTTTCCTTTATTGACGTTTTTTTATTCTGTGTTTTGTCTATTATTTTGAAAATTATAATAGATAGAGAGAATCTTTCAATCAATTATTATAGCGAAAATGATCACTGAGAAAGCGAAGATCTACAAATAATTCCACATGATTGAAAGCGGCAATTGACCCTTTTTTACCCTTATGTTCTATTTTTGGCCATGTTGGCCATGTTGTTCCGCAGGCGGGCTCATCGCACAAATTCTTTATAGTAGATACCCTTGTTTATTTCTCTCACTTCACTACATTCCAGGCTAACCTTATCTTATATATACTTTTGCACATTATATTCCATTTTCTTCTTCCTTATATCTGTTGTTTGTTTTTGAATTGCATGCACTCCTATTATGTTTTCGTCATTATCAAATAATCCTTAAATTATTAGCATATCAACAAAAGCTTGAATATGATTAGTCTGTTCGATTTTCTTTCCTGGGTTTTACACTTCAATAAACCATATTGCCAAAACTACTTCTGTTAATTTGCCTCTGTGTAAAATATAATCATGGCCGGGCGATACACACGAAGGAAATCGCCGGTCTAAAAAGACTTTAAATAAAAAATAATGAATGATAATGTATCGGTTACGAATTATGATTATTAAACACATTTTGTATGCCCCTTGTCTGTCAGTTCAGTCCAGTCCGTCCGTCGCGTACGTTCCCAAAATTGGTTCCCATTCTCTAACTTTAGTTTGCCTCAACGAAATGTTATAAAACTTATACACTATGCTTATTACCACAAAACACAGATCAAATTTGAAATTGAATGGCGTCACTTCTACCGTTCTTGAGTAATGCCCCTTTATAAATAGACAAAGTGCTAAATCTGTCGTTTCCGTTCTCTACATTTAGTTTGCCTCAACCAAATGTTATTAAACTATTACACAATGTTTATTACTTCAAAACACAGATCAAGTTTGAACTTTTACCGTTCTTGAGTTATGCCTCTTTACAAAAACAAACAATATCCCTAATTAAGTGTCCAATCCCTTTTTCTAAATTTGCAAATAAAATTCGTTAAAACTAAATTGATTATGGCCAAGTTTGTTTCACTTTGGACATTCACAAAAGGTTTAAAAAAGAAGATTTTTGTAAAATTTAATGAACAGCGACGGGCGCAAAGTGAAGAGAAAATCTCACTTAACCCTGTGGGTCAGATGAGCTAAAAATCTGTGATAATAAATTTTAATCCGAAATCACAAATTACCAAAAAAACTGTGATAACGAATTCCACAAATTCGTTATCACGAATATAATCCGTTATAACAAATTGTACAATTCGTTACAACGATTTTAATTCGTTATCACAAATTACAAAAAATTGTGATAACGAATTTAATTCGTAATTACGAATTATAAAATCTGTTATAACGATTTCCAAGGATTTGTATAGTATCACTATACAAATCCTTGCGATTTCCAACAATTCGTAATCAAAAATTTAATCTGTTATAACAAATTATACAATTCGTGAAAACGATTTAAACTCGTAATTTCGAATTCAAATTATATTTTTGGAAGGTCCTAAATGGGCTTCCGTAGCTATCAGTTTAATAAATAACAGTATTTTTTAAATATCTTGTTGGTTTACGGACCAACCGTCAGGTAAACCGGAAATTGTATTTACCTGAAAAGACAGGTACGACAACATAGGTGTGTGTTGTTTTTTTTTTTTTAGGTGGAAAATATATGTTGGCATACATCTTTGTTTGAAAAAAGACAACATGTTCAAGGTATTGCTTCACATAATCTTTATCAGTTTAAATAATTTCTAAAATATAAAAATGAAGGAAAAAAAACAACGATACAAACAAAACGATGACTTCATGCAATTATAGATCAGGGACAGTCTATACAATAGTTAGTATAGACTGTCCATGAATAGATGTACAAAATGAATCAACAGATAAACCCATAGGTTCATACACCCATGATACAATCTATATAAGGATTATTACAGTATGAAATGGTAATGACAGAGGCGGATTTAGGGGAGGGGGGGGGGCCCCCCCTTTTGAGGGAAAAATTTGGTTGATTATATAGGTTTTTCCTGAAGCATGACTGGAGCGGGCCCCCTCTTAGGCAGTCAGTGGGCCCCCACTCATGAAAATTTCTGGATCCACCACTGAATGAAATCAACTTAGGGTCAGAAATCGGCAATACAAAAGTGTTATTTAATAAAGCAAGTTAAAAAAAAACAGTAAAAAAGAGACTAATGCAAGTTTTAAAAAAAACAGTAAAAAAGATACTAATGCAATGAACACAATAAAAAGTCTATTATGTTAAAGACCATAAGGTATAACATTAAGCAAAGATTGATTGATTGATTGGTGTTTAAAGCCACTTTCAAACACTATTGTGCTATTTCATGGCGGTCAGTTTTTATTGGTGGAAGAAGCCAGAGTGCCCCAGAGAATCACATACCTTTGGTAGGAAAACTAACAATTCCAGTCAATTAAGATTGAAGTCCAGTACACAACCTCCATGTTGACTGGCTATTGATACAGTAGTTCGACAACTTAGACCACTCGGCCACTGAGGCTACTCATTAAGCAAAGAAGACAAGTTTGAAACGTATACAAAACATTATTAAGCAAAGAAGACAAGTTTGAAACGTATACAAAACATTATTAAGCAAAGAAGACAAGTTTGAAACGTATACAAAACATTATTAAGCAAAGAAGACAAGTTTGAAACGTATACAAAACATTATTAAGCAAAGAAGACAAGTTTGAAACGTATACAAAACATTAGCATGCACCACAAAATAAAAATCTTTGACCTAAAGTGTTCTATATTAGTAAGCCTGTGTTAAACTTTCAAGAAAATGCTCCAATGTACTTGAAAGTAATTGAAAAGTGATTCATAATCAAAATGTAATTCATTACTTTCAATTACATCATTTTACATGTAACTGAAAATATGTTCAGTTACACATTACCTTAAATTAATTTAAAAATTTGTAATTACAGGTAATTACAATTACATTTTCAATAACCCCAGGTCTGTATAAGATATCTACAGGTAATTACAATTACATTTTCAATTACCCAAGGTCTGTATAAGATATCTACAGGTAATTACAATTACATTTTCAATAACCCCAGGTCTATATAAGATATCTACAGGTAATCACAATTACATTTTCAATTACCCCAGGTCTGTATAAGATATCTACAGGTAATTACAATTACATTTTCAATTACCCCAGGTCTGTATATAATATCTACAGGTAATTACAATTACATTTTCAATAACCCCAGGTCTGTATAAGATATCTTTTATTTTTTATTAGATATCGTTTATATTTTATGAAATTAATAACATATCTTTGTTCTATCAGATTTATTATAAAATTAATAAATTAAGTTTATAAGATGTCTCATAACAGAAAAGAAGATATATTGCACTTTTATAACATATCTTATACAAAATAAAAGATATCTCATAAGATACCTTATAAATAATATACATGTAAGATACATTGTGTATCTTATGAATAATATAAGATATATCTGATATAATCAATGAGATATCTCTTAAGGTTTAGAGAATTTGGTGGTAATGGCAGTTCTGTGCTGGTCTGTTCATTTAATCACAACTTTTTTAGACTGTGATTGAAATCTTGACAAATTGTATATACATTGGTCTATTGTTGAAGACTATTTTGACCTGTAGATGTCTTTTGGTTATTGTATTGTTTGGTTGCTGTCTGATTGACATGAAGGCCTCATCTCCTTTAATTCATAAGTAATTCTTCAAAATGTTGATCACCAATGATTACTTGGTGAATTTTTGCCATGACCTCATAAGGCTTAGGAAACATCTTTTCCCAATAGTAATTTTATGATGGACATTGCAAGTGTTTTTATAGAAAAGATCATATGTATGAATAAAAAGATATGTAGGGTGTATGTCACTGAGACAGCAACCCAATAACACAAAACTAAAAAGACATCTTTAGATCAACATACAGTTTGTGTCTGTACAAAGTCAGGCTATTTGGACCATCTTTTGTACCTTGTTGTTTGAATGTCTAGCTATCTCTAATGAGTCCAGTGTTGGTGGATGTACTGTCCAATATTTTGGTCATTCCTGATATCTTTTTCATGTATGAGGGTCTGGATGGGGGGTCCTTCATTTCTGTATTTCTTTAGTTTTCTAGGCCATTTTTCTCTATTCTTTATACTTTTTGCCCATTTTATTATCTATTCTTTATATTTTAGCACCTCATTATTCTCTATTCTTTATATTTTTGATCCATTTTACTCTATTCTTTATATTTTTTGCCCATTATTCTCTATTCTGTAAACCCCCATCCACACCCTCATGTATTAATCAACAATAGACATGTGTATACAATATGTAAAGCTCTAAATCACTGAGTCTAAAAAAGTTGATTTTTTTATGGAGACTGTTCACTTTATGACACAAACATTTATATATAAAAATAAAGAGGTGTGGTATGATCACCAATGAACAAAGGACAAGGATGCAAGCAACTACAAATCCCAATAAAGCCTTAATTTTTGTATATTTGTTTATTCATTTGTATAGTTCATATGCCTTCAACCTTTGAGGTATAAATGTGCATTTCTTTAATTAAAAAAAAGAATACCACGAAGAAAGCCATACTGTACAGCTGATCTTATCGTTCACTACATCTAATTATTTCATTCAATATTTGGTTGATCTGGTTTGGTCCTTTTGTCCATAATCATGAGCTATATTTTTCTCTTATTTTGACTGACATTTCACTGGTTAAGTTTCACATCAAAGCAAATTTGATTTCAGGAGAGCAGATTACCATCATATCAAATTTTATATATATCTGGGTCCAAGAGTTTGTGTATAAAACACTAAAATCCTTTACTGTACAGTACAACCTGTGACTTCCTCTTAGTTATGTCCACCCTCTTGTATGGTCACCATCGAATGGTGGCCATTTATTGGGGTATTCAATCTTGGGATGTTGGCCATTTATTGGGGTCATAAAAACATAGGTTTATGTTTTATCTAATTATGTTACCTGTTGAAATTAATCAGGGTTGAAGTTTTCAGCTTGTATGTTTCATTAAAATTTACCTGTACAGGTAACTCAGGTTTCTTCTCAAATTGACATTTCACCTTTTCTTGAAAATGTAGAATAGAATGTTTGTTTTAGTCTTTGTTAATTCATATCATTTGTTGATTTTTCTGTCTTTAAATTTACATATTTTCCTTTTTTTCTAATGTTTTTGTTTTTTTATGTTATTATTATTTTTTATTTGTTTTTTTGCTTCTTATTCTTTTAATTTCTTCTTGGAAAGAATCTTGAGTAGAAATGACAAAAATTCAAAGATAAGTTATTGACTAGCATTTGAAAACAAAAGAGAGAATCCTTTAAATAATTATTTTCAGTAAAAAAAAAGTTATTGTACATGATGTACATGGTATTCTATTGTTCGTTTGCATTATTAAATGAATTATTATTACTTATAACTTATAATCATGCAAATGATATGTTTAAAGGAACCATGAAGCAAGTAATTTAACAAGCCAGTTTATTCAAAAATTTAAATTATCAATATCATGAATATCAATCCTTTTACAATAATTTATGTTAACAAAGTTGTACAATCTATTATCATGATTATTATTCAGGAAAACTACAAATATCATTATATGGAATAGGAATAAACTATTTTTGTTTATCTTTGAAATTTTTCAAATCTCAAAATTAGTTTTGCATGAAGAATCACTAAAGAGACTTACAAAGAAATTATTTAAAGAAAAAATTGTCTTGCTTTTTGAAACAATTGTAAACTTATCAAATATGTTATCTTCAGTTTGGCTAATTTTGTCAGTTAAACAGGCAAAATTTGTCTCCAGAAAAAATAAAGTACACTTCTATATAGATTGTGACATTTTTATGGTCTATTAATTAAATCACTTTTTGTTCTGTGTATTATATGGTCGAAACTGCAGGACTGACATATGCATGATACATATTCTTGGTAAACATTTGCAAAGAATATTTCACTCAACTCAGGCCTTTTAGATAAAGTTAATAATTGCAGGGACTTGAATGAATTAGATTCTTTAAAGACCTTGATTAAAAATAAGTTTTAAGAAAAAAAATAAGAATATTTTTGAAAATGAAATAAAAACTTATGATGAAAACAGTAAACTAAAATGCTTCACTAAGTAAAGAATTAGTGGTCATAATTTAGAAATAGAAAATGGTGAATAAAAATTCCTATAAAGGATAGAATTGTTTGTAAAATTAACATAACAACTTAGAGATAATCAATTTGAAAATTGTTTACCTTCTCATAATAATGTCTCTGACCAGTTTATGAATAAAATCTTAACCAAGAACAAAAAGTAAAAGAAATGCTAAACCTCTATAACATGGAACATGTTTCAAATATTGGCTCCTTTATAAAAGAAAGTCATTAGAACTGAGGGCAGAAACCTATCTTTTTTCCATGTGTTTTGATTTCTCATAGAATTGTTATTTCTTTGCATTATAATGTTTGTTTTGGGTTGTTTTTTGTCAGAAACTTGATTAAATTGTAATATGTTTATATGACAATAAAAAAATTATCAAATTTTTCTGTAATGAATATTTTAAATATACATGTATTTATTCAATAGAGAAATAATGAATTGCCTAAATTTTATTTAGAATAAGTCCTAAAGATAGTCTTAAACATTTGTTAAACAATGTTAAATGCAGTAAGTATAAACAGTTTTGATTTTAGAAAATTAATTTGAGAACCCCATTTTCAATGGGAAAAATGGGAAAAGGCAGGCGTTGTGAAAGTTTGCATTATATTAGAAGATGATATTCATTTATTATTCACTTGCCAAAAAATACATATAAAAAATAACTTAAATTGATAGAATTATTTAAAAGTTATAACATCAAAACAAACATTTGCAAAAAGTCATGAGAACATTTTTACAAAAAAAAGTTAGGAAGCTATATGTTCAACTAGTTTTATTATTTCATTTTATTTTAGAATTTTCTTGTCATAATCACAGTTATTAAATTTGACAAACACAAAAAGTCGTATATTTTCCCTGAGACACTTTACCTGTAAGTTATGTAATTTTAACACTTCAATGCAGTCATGATTTCTCATTATCCTTGACTAGTTTTTGATTAATACCTTGTGTATTAATTAAGCAGCAGGGGGTATAATGATGGACATTTAGGGCCATCATGGTGACCATATTTTTTATGGCCACCATTAATAAGATAATGTCACAGGTAGTACTGTAACAATTTAGAATGTAGGGGAAATAAAAAGAAACCTTGACGATTGCTAAGTGTACAAGGATGAGAAGATGAACTTTAAAATATGATCTTCAAAATTTCAACTTTAAGAATCTTTGTATCCTCAAACTTACTGAGTTTGATGATAAATATTGTATTAACATAACTTTACTCTTTACTTTTCAGAACTGTTCAAACTAAATGCAGATGATTACTTTTGTAAAATTCAAATGTTACCTGATTAGCCATCTGTATATCAAGCTTCTCGACTATTATGAGTTATAAAACCAAGATAAAACATTGCTTCATTAAGTTATGGTAAACGAAATCGGTGGCATTGATCCTGGTAGTGTGCCACAGTCCACAACTACCTCAACAACCCAATCACCTCCAGGACCAAACAAACCATTAGACAACGAAAATAGACGATCTACAACAGATACCATTGCAGCCTTAACTGTTGCCATATTATCTGTTATTGTAATTATAACTATTTTATTGCTGGTCAGAGCTATCAGAAAGAGGCGACAGGCTAGACAGGGGAGGGAACTCAATCCAGTTGCAACTATATCTACAGGCGTTATGGGCACAGGTATAGTATAAACAATGTAGCCATTTTAATGTATGAACACAACTTTGGCTCATTTGACTATAACTGAAAAATCTATGGATTTGAAATAGGAGATTTGATGACTTTGAGAAAAAATTAATCATTTTACGTGCTTTCTATAGGAATGTTCACCTATTTTGAAAGAATTCAATTAGTAATTTTTCAGAAAATAAAAGAGATAAATGCATCATTTTTTTCGATTTTCAGATATTATTCAACGAGCCAAAGTTGTACGAAAAATTTACCAAAATCTGTGATAAAGCCCATTTACTGTTCTTTGACCTTAAAGCTACATTTTCACAATTTCATTGCATTAAGGCTCACCCGAAAGAGGAGAATATGTAACACATGTAGGTGATTTGCAAGGATTTCTGTGAACACAAATCTGTGGGTTCACTGCACAGATATTACAATTGTTTCCGGATTATTTTTAATTTCTTATAAGGCAATAAGTAATTTTAAAATTAATTGTCAGAGTGGAGATATACATTGTTGTACTGTACCACAAAAGATAACTGTGGTTGAATCGGTTTCTCTTATGAGGGTCTGGATGGGGTTTACAGAATAGAGAATAATGGGTCAATATTATACTATGTAAAAATAGGGCCAAAAATTAAGAATGGAGAAAAATATGCCCCCCTCCCTCCAAAAAATAAAAAGAATAAAGAATAATTTGGTGCTATAATATAAAGAATAGAGAATAACTGGCAAAATTTTTAAAGAATAGAGAAAAATGGCCTTTAAAAAATTAAAGAATACAGACCCTCCCTAATGTGTATTGGATAATATATAAGCAAAGTTTAAATTTTTTAATAATCTGCCAAAAATATGTGATCTTTCTATATGATGTCACCAGGCATGTTTGAGATTTTCATAGCAGACTATACGATATGGGTTTTTCTCTTTATTGAAGGCCATTACAGTGACCTATAATTGCTTATATCAATGTCATTTTAACTGTGGTGGATAGTTGTCTCATTGGCAATCCTACCACATCTCCTTTTTTTATATGGTCACCTTTTTTGTGATGTCATAATAGCAGATTCAGAGAAAGCAAGAAACTTGGAAGTCATAATTGAATTTTGACCAATGAAGAACCGAGATCATCTTTGATCATAAAAAATAATCAACTGTTCAGGGAAGGTGTAAATCAGTTAAGAATGAGAGAAATTGATTTACAGAATTTCAATTAACAGGTGTAGCAGCTTACAGTAATGCAGCCATGGATTGGGAACCAGTGAACCATGGCCAAGAAATGACAGTTAATCCTTCATCTCAACACAGGAGGTAGCATTGTCTCTCAAGAGTAAGTATTTTCATAAATAATACTAGGAAAAAATGCAACAATATTAATTCAAAAAGTGGGAAGTCCATAAAGCCTGACAAAACCGAATGTTAAGACTTTGTCAACCAACGAAACAAAACCAAATGTTAATTTGTCAACCAATGAACAAATGGAAAACAACTGTAACATTCCTGACTTGGTACAGGCAGTATATCTGTTCTTAAATGAAAAATTCAATGTGGACTTGATGAAGAGTAGAAAATGTTTTCACTGTATCTGGATGTTCACCTCATTCCTTAATGAGAGGAGTACAGAATAGGGTAAATTTACAGAGGGTCTGAGTCACTCAGAAACCGTCTAGTTGAAAGTGTTGTGCTAGGGTTTAATGTGTAACTTCTATTATGTTGTCTGATACGAACATGCAATGCAATATTTATGAAAATTGCGTTTACTGAGGATTTGACAAATATACTATTTTGCTAATTACAAAACTAAAAACTCTTGTAAAAGTGTATTAAATGAGAAATACTATCATATTGGTTTGTGTTCTTAGAAATTTCCCAAAAGAAGTGGTTATTGACTTTGACAAACCATTTCCTAACCCAGAATCTTATTTCAGGTGTTATAGCATTTTCAAAAATGATAGAAATTGGCAATGCTCATTTAAACTCACTTACTGGTAATTGTAATTTATGGTCATTTAAGGGGCACTTAATAACTTTTTTTTTAAAGACTGTCAAATAAAGTTCTGAAGATAAATTTACTTTCTATTTTTAGGTTTTTGAGAAGGTGCTTATTTACAGCTTAGTTGGAATAGAATAGAACAAGGCTAGGATCAAAAGATCTTCATATTTATTCAAAAGCTGATCTCAACCATATATCAGTATTACAGTACACACACACTTTCTTGGTGGTGTATTGAGGAATCTCTGTGAAACAATGATTGGGGTTGATAGTACTTTGATCCGTGGCCATGTCTTATCTAACCTATTGAATAAACAGAGATATTTCAGTGATTTTCACACATGAAATGTCATTTACTAGCAATCACTTTTTTAAAAGTGACTTATAATAAATCATCTTGTGTGTATTGTACATATCACAGAATTGTTTCAGTAATAATTCTTTAATTTTTGTACATTTCTTTGCTTCATGCCTATTCAGTCTATCTTAAAAAAACAACAACAGTGAAGTCAGTGTTTTTCTTTCTGAATAAAAGGCAAGGTATAGAGAATTGATATGTGTTTCATGAACTAACAGTCTTTGTAAGACAGTTATTTAAAAAAGTTATACTTGGACCTTGTAACAAAAAAAAATTCAATTTTTGTTTAAAAATGGAATTGGAAAGAGAATGAGCTTTAATTGGTGATTAATAGAGTTGTTTCCTTTTTACATCTCTCTAATAGCATTGTTAAAATTTCACATGAAAGTCTGTCAGTACTTAAATGTTTTGTATTTTCTGTGCATAATGACCTAAAGTTACTATATGTTCTATTTTCATAATTTGTTATTTTTGTTGTTACAATTTGTACTATATGATGATCATGATGTTGTATAAGTATATAACCATCCATGTTTATATTCCATGTCTGTCAGATGCTTGTTAATAAATTTATATATTATTAACATACTTATTTGTTACTGTTAGAATGTGTTTATTTTTACATTCAATCCCGACAGTATGGTTGCAATTCCCAGTTCAACTCACAGGATTGCTTGGCTTAAGGGTGTCTGTCCTCTTCTTGGAAGTTTTGATGTAAAAAGTATGGAATGACTGACTGCAGATCATAATGGGTTGTGTTTGGACAGTGCAGTTGTTTATAACTTTGTTTATTGTAGTTACATATTGTAATAGAAGCTACACTGACTGCACATGGTAAAAATCTTCATTTAAGGACTAACTCCTATAAAGAGTTGACCAAAAATTTCAGCAATATTGGCTAATTTATTGATCATGCCCTGTAGATCATATTTGCTAATAAAAACTGACCGCCACGAAATAGCCCAAAAGCGGTGCTTAAAAGTGGCGTTAAAACACAAAAAATCAAATCAAATTCATATGGATTTTTTGGTAAAAAAAAAAGATACAACATTTGCAGATATTTTTACTGGTCTTCCTTTATAAATATGCATTTCTTTAAACATAATTTAAAAGCAGTGTAAGGGAGGTAATCAAAACGTATTTGGATTACCTCCCTTACACTGCTTTTAAATTGTCTTAATTGTTCATTAACCATTACTTTATACATAATTTAAAAGCAGTGTAAGGGAGGTAATTCAAATGATGTATTTGAATTACCTCCATTTCACTGCTTTAAATTATGTTTTGTACTAAAGAATTTATCCATTAACCAAGACACCCTTATTTTTCCCCCTAATTCCTAAACGGTTTGAGCCAAAACCCCCCCAAATCAAATCCTAACCATCCCTTTGTGGTGTGGAAACTTGTGGTATAATTTCAGAAAGATCCATACACCGTTCCACAAGTTATTGTCTGGAAACTAGAAAAATGCTTATTTTTGGTATCTTTTTGGCCCCTAATTCCATAACTGTTGGTACCATAACACCCAAAATCAATCCCAACCTTCCTTTTGTGGTATTGAACCTTATGGTAAAATTTCATAGAGATCCATTCACTTAAACTAAAGTTATTGTGCGAAAACCAATGTGTCTTCAGACGACGAAGACGCCAACGTCATACCAAAAAAATTTTGCAGTCGTATAAAAACTTGTCTTTTACCCTATGTTCTATTATAAGCCATGTCAACCATGTTGGTTGGCAGACAGGGTCATCAGACAGTTTTTAAACTAGACATCCAATTGATGATTGTGTCCAAATTTGGTTAAATTTGGCACAGTAGTTTCAGAGAAGATTTTTGAAAAGGTTAATGGATGACAGATGAAAGAAGCCGAGTGATTACAACAGCTGACACTAGCACAAAGGCCAGGTGCGCTTATAAGATATCCAGGGGGCAATTAAAATCACTAGTTAAAGGACAAACAAAACCTTGCCTAAAAGAAAAAAGAATAACACACTAAAGAAAACATAAATTAACCAAAACAAACCTCATTGTCAATCAGTGGGTGATCCAACATGTTAAGCAGTTCCTGCTCCACTAGTAACACTTGTCATGTGGATTATTTTAAAACTGACGAAACATCCTAATCATCAAAAAAAGACTTCAGTGGATGTCTCTTGAAAAATAATTTCAACAAATGTTCTTTGATAAATGGAAATTTCAATAATTTGAATGAATGTTGGCTCATTTATATCTATCACCATGAAGTCGTTTGATTCACATCTTTCCACAAGCAGTATTTTTTTTTCTATTGACAAGTTTTCTCAATTCCAAAACAATACAATGCCGGTTGTAAAATTGTATGAATGTGTATGAAAGGGCATTAAACTCAAAACAAACATAACTTTGAGATGAAGAACAGCAATAAAACCCTTTCCTTTGCTTTCGTTAAATGTGTGAATAATAATACACCACATCCTTTCTTTTCCATTATGTGTTTTTAATATAGAATTTGATTTTGAAACATAGAGCGGTGTATATGTGTGTTATATGAATAAGATTTTTTTGTTTTACAAGTTAACATTTATTTTTAGTGTTATAAATTAGTATATGTTTGTCATTTAACAAATGTGAATAGTCTTTTCTATTATTTTGCAGCTCCAATTCTTTGTCTTCTAGTTTTTTGCAGCACCAATACTTTGTCTTCTACTTTCTAAATTAATAACCTGTCAAAATACATAAAAATAACAAACTAATTTGATAAAAAGAAAATATTTACATGTACTAAAGATAATGACGACAGAATGAAAATGATCTGTCCAATGTAATTGTTTACAGAGATACCATCTACTGACTGCAAAACCATGGAGCTTTAGAAGCTTCAAATACTAAATTTGCTATTGCTTTTATGCTTAAGAAAATGAATCTAAATAGAACTGCAATCTAGAAACATGTTAAGAAAAAATTGACATCTAACAGTCATTAAGAGGTCTCCTAGAACAAGCCATATCCGAAATCTAATATCAAGCTCTAAACAGTGTACCAAATTGGATAAAAAATCAACAAGCATTGCACTGAAACATCAGCCATACAAATTTGTATTTTAAAATAATGATTTTTAAAGAAATTTATCCATGCTTTAAGCAACTACTGTATGAGCATTTGTATACAATATTTTAGTGACATGTTTTCATATAGTTATGTTTTAATGTGCTAGACTGATATAATACAATTAAGAGTTTTTTTCTGGTTTGATTTTGTTTGTTTTTAACTTTATTCCTCCTCCCACTGATCAAGAAAATCAGAAAGAGTTAAGAACTTACAAATAAGGCTACTGTAACATTGCAACATGTTTATTAGCCTGTGTCATCAATGTTTGCCTTATTCTCTTTCCCCGTCTTTCTGTATTTGGTACAGAAGTAAGATCATTGGGGATCAATCAAATTCATTCAAAGCTAATTATAACAGTAGTAATTTTAAGCTTGCCCTAATATTTAATGCCATAATTAAAAGTGGTATAATGACATTTTGATGACTATCTTTGTTTTTTTGTAATTTGAGTTACATGATTTCTATCCCTATAATATTTACCCTTAATCTCCTCGGAGACATGATATATGTTGTTCTTGCTTTACACACAGGAATTGTAATGTATTAATCAATATTTTTAGGTAAGACCCTTACCTGTTGCACCTGACCTTCAGCAATGTTCTTCATTTCTTCTTTCAAATTCTGAGATGTTGGAAGATCCTGAAAATATTTTTGTATGTGTAAGAATGAAAACTCCCTTAAAAAAATTTAACATAATGTGCAAATAAAAAAATCTAAATTTCTGATAAACACAAGTTTGCAAGAATTGCTTTCAAAAACTAATATTGTGTATACTGATACAGGAAAAATTCAAAGGGTTAAATCCTGTAAAAATTATTTACTTGAAATGGCCACTTACACATTATGATAAAATACTGTAAATTCAGAAATTATTGCGTGCATTTATTATTGCGATTTTTGAAGAATGGACAAAAATGCAAGATTAATTATTGCGATTTCAAGAAAATCTGCATAAAGACATATGTACCATGTATCAGAATAAGAGTTCTTATTATTGCTATCCTCACCCAGTCACATTATTCGCAATAATAAAAACCTCACAATAATTTCTGAATTTACAGTACCTACTATGCATAACTGCTTTTAAAGGCATACAGTACAATAGCAGGGGCAGTTAAATTTTATACCATTGCTAATGATAAGATTCCAAAATTCATGCAAATTGGGCTAACCTCATCAAATCAATAACATGAATTTGAAAGCAGTTGCAAAGGAAAACAAATTTACAGTTTATTAAAACATGTACTGTTGAGGCATTAAATTCAAGGCAAATGAAGTCTGTAAAATTTATCAATAACTTCCAATTGTTTACAGTTATTCGTGTAAAGTTTTAATGACAGGAATAGCAGCATGGCGATGTTGTGACATACGTTAGAGCCAAAAAGGAAAATGAGATTGCCATCATTTAAATAAACTAGAATTTCTGTTTTTAGCCAATAAATAAGCACATGGACTCCAAAATTTTAATTTTAATGGAATTTAACTTTCATTTTGGTAAATAGTTTTAAGGCCTATAAACTAAGAAAGACAGTGCAAAAAGCCAGGTGAAATTATCTCTGCCCATGTAAAAGTTGTGCAATTTTTGGGGAAAGGTTTTAAAAAATGTAAATTTGTGTTTTAAGGTGGTACCTAACACTACAGGGAGATAACTCTGTAAAAATCAGCTAAACGTTTTAATCACGTTGTTTTGTTAAGGAAATATTACGCTTCTCAATGATCAAAATTAGTGTTTGTCAAACTGCTATACACAAATGTATAACCAACGAAATTTTTCTGATAAAGTGGTTGGTTCAAATTCTTTGAAATTTTTATATTTTTATCAAAGGGTCAAAGTAAACATTATGTCAAAATTTTATGAAAATTAAACGAGCCAAATTAATTTTAGTCAAGGTGTTGGGTACCACCTTAACCTAAAATATATTGAAATCAGACTGAAATATCTCTTCTGCAATATTACAATCCAAAAAGTTAACACATACCATTAAAATTCTTATTAGTTTCAATGAAAAAAGGACAACAATTCAGAAATATATGACAGTCCCCTGCCATCAAAAAAGTTAATATATTATATTTCAAAACATTATCATATGGGTTCATGTGAATTTGTAATGTGTGGCTTACTGTAGATTCATTCATTTTTATGGATACCAATTTTAGTCAATTAACGAAAAATTGTATTTTCGTGGATACTTGATTGTGTGGGTTTTGCCAAAATAAATAAGATATGGTATGAGTGCCAATGAGACAACTCTTCATCCAAATCACAATGTATAAAAAGTTAACAATTATAGGTCAAAGTACGGCCTTCAACATGGAGCATTGGCTCACACCGAACAGCAAGCTATAAAGGGCCCAAAAATGACTAGTGTAAAACAATTCAAACAGGAAAACCAATGGTCTAATCTATATAAAAAACGAGAAACGAGAAACACCTATGAACCACACTAACAAACGACAACCACTGAACAACAGGCTCCTGACAAAGTCTGCATACAAGCCTATAG